ATGCCTTCCTATAGAAAATTCCAGAAAAGAGACAGGTAAGATGAAATTGACAACAGCTAAAATGGACACTTGAAGTCGGCATGCTTGGTATCTGTTTCATTCCTGCTCACTTGACATTCCAATTACGTCTAAATCATGCTGGAATGTAAACCATCGCTATCAATTTTTTTCCAGCAGATTTTATAGAGACAAATGATAGGGCTGTGACAGCCTTCAGCTTTAGGTTAAAAGCTCTTGAGCAGCAGAAGAAAATATTAGTGACCACTGTATAGAATGACATGCTCTAGGGAATACAGATTACATGGGGGTTTCTAAAATGACTAATTTTCCAGAGACTTTCCCTGTTTTTTGGTCATTTTGATATGTATTTGGAGAGAAGCAAGCTTTTGTCATATCTCTGCTGGGATATAGTTTTATAATTTGAAGTCACACAACATATTTTTCCTTTTTCATCTCCACTTTGTGTTCCATTTATGCCTTTACCTCAGCTAATCTAAAAATGTAGGGACCCTTATCAAGCTCCCTTTAAACAGGAAAATCAGGTTTTTATTTGGAATGTATTATTGCTCATTTTCTCTTCACAATATCTAATTCAAATTGCACTGGCACATAAGAATGTAAACAAGTAAAACTTAATTATCTCATCCACTAAAAAGAAAGGATAATTATGTAATATAGGTACTAAATATCCCTACCACAGCAATCATATGACAGTATGTAAATGTATCAAATTAACACACTGTACATGTTCAATTTACACAATGTCATATGTCAAATATATTCGATTAAAAAAGAATGAACAGTCTTTTAGTAATTGCCCTATTGATAATTTCCCAAAAGTTATGAACAGACTACTTAAAAGCTCTAAGGTATTCTTCTACTGCAAGTTCTACTTCTTGTCCTAGGGTGTTTAAAAATGGTAAACCTAGATGATTATTTTGAGACAAACATGTCAAAAAAGCATCAGTCATAAAATCTGGATTAATGAGGGGCATCATCCCAGAACGCACATTCATTCAGATGCCTTTTCACGCTGACATTTTTCATCTGTGCAATAATTGCTCGCTGCATGATACATGAGAGGATAGATCACATTTCTTTGCAATCTGAGACTTAGGTTGACAATTATCAGGCAAAGTAATATCTGACTTTGACTTCAGGCACCTGCTGCCTGAGAGGCCTTTCTGCCTTGCTGAGTCAGACACAACATAAAGTGGGATCTAGGTGTTTAAAAATCTGGGTAATTGAATCTAATGCTACTTAGGTAACATTAATCTATTTATGTTTGCAGTGTTTAGTCATTTGTGATTCAGAAATAAAATTTGATAATATTTTTAGTTAGGGAAAGTGACTTGTGACTCATTCTAAACTGTGGCAGATGCGAAATGGAAAATCCAGTACAACAAGGAATAAAGAGTTTGACCATTTCTTTCAGGTGGTATGTGCCACAGAGCAGAGATGGGGAGAAAAAGACAGAAATAAGAATTTATTATAATTATCTCCTAGTTTACCCAAACCCCTTTGTGTTATGATAGATATAGTCATGTCTTTTTCTACCTCAAGTAATCTTATGTACAAAAGTTAATCAGTTTTGCCAATTGTAATTTGCTTCCAAAACAATTTCCTCTCAAATTCATATTTTTAGAAGGTGGCTAATAACAGGGAATTTAAAGGCAGGCTATCAAGTTCACAAAAGTTAAAATAGAGGTGTGAAGATTCTATTCATTCCTTTAAGGTTATAAAATGACAAACTATATAGCTGAATATACACTTTTATAGTCCTTGGGCCTGTGTTATTTAACAACCTATAAACAAACTTTAAAATTTTTAATCGTGTTTAAATTACCAAAGTAACTGAAAGCAAAAAATAATTATTTTAAATCCCAATTCAAGTTTTATAAACAGGGTGTATATGTTTCCTATAGTCAATTTTATATGTACAACATACACACTTATATAATTGTTCATATAAACAAATGATAGGCATTTATATTTATTTGTAGTGAAACATGTCCAAAGTCTGTTGGACTTTGTTGGAAATCAGACAAGAAATCTTTTTTGATGAATCAGGTCTAGGTGGGCTAATTCTTTGTGTGTGTATGTGTGTGTGTGTGTGTGTGTGTGTGTGTGTGTGTGTGTGTGTGTGTGTAAAGAAAGCCCACTTCCACGAAATAATTTTCTTTGGAAATCATTTCTTAAATTGGCTGCACATGTGTGGCCAGACAATTCATTTCAAGCTAAATAAACATGATTAATCTGGCAGTTATTCAGACAGCACACAGAAACATTCTGAATTCATTTTATCATGATAAGTTTATAATTCCCTTCTTGGAGTAGTAAGAACACATTTTTAACCATATATATATGGTTTTATATATATATATATATATATATATTTATAAATAAATAAATAAATAAATAAATATATATATATACACACACACTCACAAATACAAAGCTTCTCTTTAAGCTTCTATTTTCTTAGTACTTATTTATAAACATTTCTTTACAATTTTAAAGTTTTAACTTTAAATAATTCCCACTATATGAAATTATATCTTAATTCATTATCTCCACCCTAGTTACATGCATGGCTTCACAGTCTTTGATAATCAGTCATGGTTGCATATTTTGGCCATAGAATAATTAGAGCTAAAGTTAAACTTTAGTTTTAAAACTAAAACTGCCTATTAAAGTTAAAGAGGCATGGGGTTTCTGACTCTTAATTTTCAGGTGGGGGTATAATGGTCTGGGTGGGGGAAGGAAAAGAACCCACTTGATGTAGGGCTAATCAGCTTGGACGCTGGTTTACAACCAGGAATGCACTGATTGTTATCTTTTTGGACTATACAGAATAAAAAAATAAATTATAATGCAAAATGGAAGCTGAAGGCAATTTAAGTGCATTTATATATTTAAAAGACAGTATCACTGAAGCACTGCTATATGAGAAATACTAAGGCACATACCACAAAACACATTTCAGTGAATTTTTATAATACACCAGAAAAAATCCTGACCTGGGATCATGGGCTATGTGGCCTTGGCAAAGCACTTAATTTCTCTGTGTCTCTATCTCACAGGTTAAATAATATAGAGTTCCACCCAGTTCCAAAACGTGTACCATTTCTCTGTTATTAAAACAGAAAGAAGGGCAACTTAGCAAAGGTTTTAACATTTTCAAAGTATACAACCCCAGATAAAGACAAACAGTAGTCATTAGGTCCAGACTTTCTTTGTGTACAGACCTAGAAAACCTGACATGTTGAGGCAAACAGCTTCCATTTTCATTAGTTTTCTGCAAAGAAAGCATGCATTCTGAATGTAAACTTGTATCTACTTTATAGGAATGCAATAAAGTAACTACGAGCACTAGGAAGCAAAAAAAATTTAAAAAAGCCAAAGATAATATATATATATATATATATATATATATATATATATATATATTCTTTAGTTATTTCAGAAAAAAGAAACAAATTGCTATACTGAAATCAATGGGAATTATGGGTAAATTTTTAACAAAATCAAAGCACAGTTGAGGATCTTGAATTCTGGTCGGTAATAGGCATGGAGACATTTGAATGAATGTTCTCTTTTTTATCTCCTTAGCTATAAAAGAACCAATATTTACTATCAAAGAAGATGATAAAAGTTATTTAATTAAATTTGCCAGTAAGCAAACTCCAACTTTGTACTCACAAAACTTAGGTTTCTTTAACCTAAGAAAATCAAAAGCTTTAACAGGGCCTAAAATCGCTGTCAATGTTTGCAGTGTTGAGCTGGAGGCGCTATGCTGTTCATTATTCCTCCTTTCACATACTTAGGTTCATGCACTTGCTAGGAAAGGAGCTGATTTAATGGCTCACCTGCAGTGCTGGACTGCAGGCAAAGACAATGAAAGAATGGGAGAGAAGCGATGGTATTGAGCTGTCATGCTGAATCTCTACTTCAAGGCAGGCTCTAAGGGACAGGGAAGGGCAGGGGGTGGTTCCCTGAAGTAGGTGAGCTCACCTGTCCCTTTTATTATTATAATTACAAGCTTGTCTACTTACTAGACATACTATGAGTTTTTTGAAGGTAGGAAGAGTATGTTATTCTTCACATCTCAGTGTGTGGCCCATAGGAAACACTTACTGTATATTTATAGAAGAGGTGAAGAAAACATCCCTATCTCTTCTTGGGTTCCCTTTTCCCATGAGTTTCATGTGTTAGGAGAATTAATTAGGTTAGGAAGCTCCTTATTTCAACTTAATGGCTCCCTTGAGTTTTTCTCCTTAAACTCACTCATTCACACCTTGAAATGAATTACTTTGATCTGTGAGTGCCCCGTTTCACAATTCACTGAGTAGGACCTCAGGTTGGAGGGGAGTTCTCCACAGAACTGGAGGCTTTGGACTGTTGAGAACAGCATTGTGGGGAACTGGTAGATCAAGGAAAGGACATGAGGGGCTCAAGGGGAATTTATACAGTGCCAGAATGGCTCCCTTTATAGAGATTCGACTTGCCAAGCCAATTTAGAGGGATCTGACGTCACAGGCCGACAATTGTTTTTGTAAATATTTAGCATTTGTAAACACATAGGCACTTGGTGATGTTGGTGTTTGATGGCCTAGTCTGGAAGCTGTACATTTCAGCTTCTCCCAGGTTACTAACCTGCCTGCACTATATGGTCCAGATCAGCTGTGTTTCATGTGTTAAAACCCAATTCCTGCTTCTCCTTATCTCGAGGAGGAAAAGAAAGAAGGAGAAATGAAGAAAAGAGAAAGGAGACCACGTCTCTGGCCTCTGTCTTCCCCTCGTCCTGTTTTATCATCAGTGTGGTCTAGCGTAGCATTCACAGAATTTCCCACTTCATAGGACATTCAGAATAGGTCTTCCTCCTCATCCCCACCACCCTCCCATGCCAAATATCTTAATGAACTAATACCCTCTCTCCCAAGCTTGGAACACAGGCTTTGCACTCATAGCTCCCCCATGCGGTCTGGCAAATTACCTACCCGCCTTCTTCTGAATATTTATGCCCAAATGCCAGGATGTCGGAAGCCCGTCCACTCCCATCACAGACGACAACTGGCACCGGAGGGGTGTCTCTAAGGTACTCCAAGACAATTGAGATCACATTGGGTCCTCCTTCCACAATGAGCGCCACCACTGGAACGCCTTGACCAATTCCTGCATTAAAAAAGGAAAAGAAAAGGAAAAAAGAGAAAAAAAACACAAAGCCAGCAAACCAAAGAAACAAAAAGAGAGACACAAAAAGCACAAACTAAAATTACTGAGCACAGGGGGAAGTAATAACATATGAGGGGCTAATTTAAGCAAAAATTTAAGAAAACCCTTTAGGAGAATGTTTCCCCCCCAGAGTGTCTATTTGACTCCGCCCTCTCCTAACAATTTCCAGGAGGCTGGGGTCAGTTAAGGTACTGATTACCATACTTTATAGGGGAGGGCCTTGGGGGAGGAGGTGAGAAAGGAATCAATTAGTAGGTGAAACACTGGGCCAGCTGCAAAAATATTGGAACACAAAGGTGATCTTAAGCAGGTCTTGTATGTAGCCAATGGTTCAGTTTCTTATATGTATAATGGGAAGTAAAAAAATGCCATCTTCCTGAAGCCATCACAGTGGTAAGAAAATGCCCAAATGGTTCTTTTTATTAAAGACTATCAAAATTAGCTGGGGGCATATTTTAACTTGTTGAGTCAACTCTCACTAAATTATGGGTTTATTTCTGACCATAAATGATAAGCTTGATTATTGATTTCTAAGAGCATAATAGTCATAAAAAGGTACCAGAAGACACAGCATTTGCCATCTGCCATTATTGCACCCTTTACTACTGAGCAAAGTGCCAAGCACATGAGGGCTGGTCAGTATATACCGGGGGTGCCAAAAAAATGTATGCAGGTGGACACTTTGGTCAACGTTGCTCAAGCAGTAGTTCATTATAATCAGAAGTGTCTGGATGCTGATGGTAACCACTTTGAGCACTTCTTGTAATTGCAGAAGTCATATGTGACTTGTATTCATCTTTTGTTATCAATACATATTGAGTATTACAATTTTAATACAGTTTTCCTTTCTTAAAATGTGTATACATTTTTTGGACACTCTCTGTATTTGTTAAATTCAGTTGAACTCAGAGGTTTCCCAGACTTTCCCTAAAGTATTTAAGCTATTTATGCTGAGCCATAAGACACTGCTGTTTTCAAGTAACAACTGCCCTAACATCAGCACTTAAATATGGTTCAACCTAACATATTGAAGAGAAATATTAAAAACAAGTGTCTATGAGAGACATAAGAAAGAAATTGATTCATTTTCAAGTATCATCATTGTTGATTGAACAGATTTCTTTTGCTCAATTTGGTATCACACTGTATATTCGCACTCTACCTTCTCAGGATAGTTAGGGAATTGAGCAGTACCATAAAAATGAGATGGTTTTGGAGGGTACAACAAAGCAGTTATCTTAAAAAAGAACTAATCAAGGTTCTGTACCACTTCTACAAACATGAACTAAAACAGACCTTAGTCATCTCAGTTCTCCCTCTTTCCCCCTTCTGCTATGGTTTTATATTATTTCAAGAAACTGATTCCCTGTGAGAAATAATAGTTTGGGGTTTGGTTTCTCACTCCATTAATAAGAAGTTTTATTTGACATGTATGCCCTGTTTTACTTCTAAAGTGCATCTGTCTTCAAGGGCCTACTCTCTTCTAAGTCAATGTTTTTCCTGGCTTGATTTTTATCTTAAAGGAGTGATCCAAAAAGCCAGTTATACCAAAATGGGTGTTGTTTTAAATTTACATTTAAAAATGTAAGAAAATGATCATTGTGAACCTAGGCAAGGTGCCAAGATTTATTTTTGTTCCCTAGAAGGAATTAGGAGAGAGAGATGACTTGGGATTCCATCAGAGTTTTCTGTGCATGGATAAGCTTTCAGAATTACTCCTTCAAATCCAAGGAGAAGGAATTGGAAGGCTGTGCTGCTCCCCTTTGATCCAAAAGCCCCTAAAGACTCACACAAAAGGTCACTTTAAAGCTCTGTTTGGGTGTCTATGAAGAAGACCCTTTTCCCATTGCTGCTGATTATGGGGATTAAGTAAAATTCTGTTGAAAGGCCCTTTGAAGATTAACAGCTAATTTGAAATGTTAATACAGCAAATTCTTTTAGAGGAGAATTTGCTGACAAAAAATACCTACCCCTGTATAGGTTTGTATTTTGTATTGTCTTGGAAAAGAGTCTCTTTTCCAATGTTTAAAGTTATTTTTGAGGTATTTACCCAAATACTATACTATTTAATTTCCCCCCTTGCTTTGTTTTAGCACAAGCTTGCATATTGCTTCATATCAGGAACAATTTGCTATACCTGATGTGTTCTACCCAGTGATATATTTAGACTCATTCTAGGATGTTCTAAGAGAGGCCTTTGCCAAATTCTGACTCTTGGGTGCTGATTCTGTCAGTGGGTTCTTTACTCCAATTCACAAACCAACTGTGATCCACTCAGTGTTCTCATGGAGAAGTCCTAGAACAGAACTTCTAGAATGGTCCAGTGATCTAGAGTCTACCAGACAATAGGCAAGATGGCTAGAAAACAGTCTTTTTGAGAAGATACATAGGTGCAAAGGATCATTTTTCACAGGAAGATTTGAGAGCAATAAACTGACAGTTGCTTTCCAGCCAATGTGTTTCTCAAGGAATCAAATTGTTATAACCTCTAGAAATACAGAAGCATTTTAGATAATCAGGTTTCTTACATTTGGAATGAAAGTGTTATCAATTAAAATGATGAAAAAACTATATTAACTCATATATATGTATATATTTCAGTGCTAAAAACTGGATGGAGCAAAGCATTACAATATGATCTACTTTTTCATAAATATTGAATCTATCTAATAATATATGTGCCTCCAAATTCTCCCATTTCTTTCAGTGATAATACATGGAAATTTGTTCCACAGAGCATAAAAGCCCCTATAGCCTAAAACAGAAGCATTTTTGATTTCTTAGTTATGGGTGGTAGAGAATCAGGTTAGGCCTAAAAATATCATGCTTTGTATACGTTAGACTTGCTAATATATCATAACATTAAGCCTTTCTGTCAGTACACGTACACACACACACACACACACACACACACACACACACACCTATTGCCTTTGTTTCTGAGAAAAGAAAATGATATCAAATAATTATTAATGACCTGGAGCAATCGTTCTTAACTTTCAGAGACAAGGATCTTAGAATACTTTCGTGAATCTGATGAAAACTAGTGACCCTTCCTTGAGAAAAATAACTGCATCTATGAACAGTCACAAAAATATTTCTATGCGGTTTCAAGGGATTCATGCATTCTTGAGGCCTATTCATGAAACACTTGCTGATGGACCCCAACAAAACCCCACCCTAAATTAAGCACAGTGACATATCTGCAAAGAGCATCATCAGTTTATGTTCTTTTATGAAGCTCACTGATTCTGAGACAAGTTCCAGAGTGGGTTTTTAAATAAAACTCTATGCCCAAGGAAAGTATACGATGTTATTGCTGCACAGTTTTATTGATTGGCTAACCTCTCCAGGGTGAAGCACTATCTATAGGATATCTCACTCCCTTCATTCCTCTCTCTGTTTTTATTTGTTTTTGTTTCTTCTGTTCATAATTTATTTTCTAAATTACATCTTTGAATTAGAATATTAAAAAGAAATCTAGAGAAATTCACAAATTTACAAAATAAAACCTGTAGTATATAACTTCATTAGTAAAACAAAACTTTTTAAAATGTCAAGAATGGTATATATTTTTATTAGTGACATAAAAAACATTTTAGGAATCTACTGCAGATCCAGCTGCATGCACAGGGCCCACTACATTTTCTTTAAGCTCATAAAAAATTAATATAAATTCCTTTGAAGATCCTCACAAATATATGACTTGCTCAGCTAAACCCACTGACCATTCATAAAAAATAGTTGTTTAGACTTACAATTTAAAAAAATATATAATCTCTATTATTCAGGAAAATGTTTTCATTTTATCTATATCCCTTGGGGACCTTTTATTGTGTGTGAATACTTGTCCTTTTAGTTTTCGGGAAAAGTAGGTTAATTCCTTAGTTGATTACAATATTTTTTCATTTTCTTTCATAACCAAAGACTTGCAGGAGCTCTCAGAGATTTCCATTAGAATTTCATTTCAGAGCAATGTAGATTTGTTTAAGAAGGAAGAGGCAAGATTCTTGCCACACATTAGCTTTTGCAATTTTGGAACTGGGAGCATTAGAGCCTACAAAAATGTGAGCTTGAGTAATAGACTTAGTAGCTACATTCTACAGGATTCAGGGTTGACCTAGGCCTTTCAACTTACAAACTGAACCCCATCAATTGTTCTTTGCAGAAGATAACCTCTTGGACTTTTGTCACATTCTGTTGTGACTGCTATGCTGTTCAGCCTGGGCTCCCAATAAGGCAGAAAGTATCAAAATTGGCTTAAACAAAGACTGGGTTGGGTGTTGTAAGAAAGGGAGGTAGCAGGAATAGAAGAATGTCTCAAAATTCCAAAAGACTCTCTCTCTTCCTCTTTCTCTCTCTCTCTCTCTCTCTCTATCTCTCTCTCTCTCTCCCCATGAGACCACAATCTATGCTCAGCTCAGTCACTTGTGAAATGTGTTGTAGTGAAATGCCCAGATAACAGAATTTTGATCAAATTAATTCTTTGGTTTTATGTCAACATCACTATATGGGATCAATGCTATGGGCCTAAGGAATAATTTATTTGCTGTTGGAAAATGGTTCATATTTACATGGAGCTAGAACATTTGAGATTGATCTTTAGCTAAATCTTAATGACCAAGACCACAGAGCATGTGATTATTATAATATGGGTCATTTAGAAAGAAGGTTCTAACTGTGTGTAAGAGATGACTTCCTGAAGATCTTGAGTAATTCACGATTGAGGTTGCCAGTGTTTAACAGCTAAAGCCAAGTAGCAATAACATGGACACAGTTAATACACTGGCCTCATCAGCTCTGGAATAACGTTGATTCTTGATTTAAAAGTTTGTGTGGAGAATTCACATACTTTAAAATTACGCATATAGGGAGACTTTATCAATATGTTTTATGTTGCACAAATTGAAAATGGCATAATTAAATTTTGCATAAAAATT